ATCCCAGAAATTCAGGAAAATAAGAATCTTTTTACACTATTTATATTGTTTAGACTGTTGAATGTTGGTTGAATGCATTCGGTAATTTATGGATTGAAAATAACTTGAATTGGTCAGTTTTGAATGTAAGCAAACATAATGATGGCAGAAGCAAAATGAAGAATAAAGAGATAAAGTCTTTGGTAATGTGCCATCAACTGGCAAGAATGGCATAAGAAGGTGATTAATTAATAGTATGACAATTTTTTCTCTTGTGTCCTTTCTTGAATCTTTGCTATGAGATCCTTCATTTCTGGATGTCTTTTAAGTTAGCTTTCAAATTGTTTATGCAATCATCCTATCGTCCAGATTCTACAGTTTAGCAAAGAAACCTTTTTTTATGGCTTTACTCTCATTAAGAAAGCCAAAAGAAAACAAATGATGCAGTCAATTTGGTTTGGTTTGGTTTGTTTTATGGCATATCAACCACAATAGGTTATTTAATGCTGACATAATTTTCTGGATAGGTTTGTATGAATAGAATATGTATACTTGGGTTCAGTTTGGTTTATTTTGTTTTATGGCATATCAATCTCAATGGGTTATTTAATGTCAACAAGATTTTTAGGATAGGTTTGTATGAATAGAATGTGTATTTTTTGTAAGAAATCAGTCTGCAGATCAGGTTTCATTAATGTATTTTTGTAAAGAGGGATTTTGTCAAGAGTCAAATGTATTGCTGGTAATACTTTTTTTTCCAAAATATATTGCTGATATTTCTACTATAAAAATGTATTTTTATACTTTCATAGTGTTTTGGCCCCAGTTTGGGAGTTAACTATTTGCCTATAGCTGTGACCTTAACAGGTGCTACCACCCCAGGTCAGGGTGTACCTGAAAACAACAGCAATTAAGACGTTGTTCCATGCTAGTCAAAATCTCAAAAGTGCGAGACCTTGCTGCCAGATGTAGTTTATCATCATACCCAGGATAGAGTCAATCTGGGAAAGAATCTTTATATTAATACAGTTGTTCACAACTCTCTACTTACAGTTTACTTTGTTAACTAGAAGCGTGCAGACTCAAATGTCATAAATTACCTTATTGATTACTAATCCATTAATGGTTCATAGATATTTATTTTTGGTAAATATATATGACAATTAGGACACTTCAATGTGATGTACTGGTTAACAAGCTTGCCTCACTAGATCAATTATGACTAAGTAGTGGGTTCGATCTTCACTGGGTGCTCCATATTTTCGGCCTTGCGCCCCATCTAAGTTGCACTTACTAAATTACTATAGGACAGTTTGAAAAATTTTTATTTTGACATGTTTCACTGATCAAAGTGCATCATTAGAAAACTGGATTTTATTTCAACCAAATCTAAATTGGTCAGACAGAACATGAATCATGTTAGTCATATCAGTCAGATATGTGCCAATCTGATAAACGCTTAAGTGATCATGTATCTTTCAATACATGACTGACGAGGCACATTTTTTCCCCAGTAGGTTGCCATTTCTTTCTGCAGAAAACCAGTTGCCATCCAAGGCTACAGCACCCGGTCTGTCCTGCTATTTACCCATAGCTGGGGGGAGAAGAAGAGGGTATTAGCATGCAAGTGAATATAATGGATTCGACTGGAATTCAAACTTGTCTCTCCAATTCCTCAACCCGAGCTGCTATCCATTACTCCACCGTAAAGATGTAAAAGTGAGTAGATTTTTGTAAATTCAATATTAATAAAATAAACCAATAATAGTTGGTAGATAAATAAAAGTTCAAAGAACTTATCTTCTGACTTCAAGATACACCATTCTGATTGTCATAAATACTTTGAACATTTTGTATCTATCTATCTATCTATCTATCTATCTATCTATATATATATATGTGTGTGTGTGTGTGTGTGTGTGTGTGTGTGTGTGTGTGTGTGTAATTTAAATTTGGAGGTGAATCTGAGAGAATGGTAAATATATAAAACACTTTAGTTGATAATTAATTTGTTTTAATGGCTTATCAACCCATTGAAGGTTATTTAAAACCAGAAAATATCTTTGGATTGTAAGAATTTTGGGGAGATAATAATGCTCTACTGATACAAATCCTACTAATATCTGGTGAGGACAACAGGTAAATTCACACCTTTCCCTAAGGTATTTTGCATGTAAGTGAATACAATGAACATAACTTGGCTAGTAACTGTCTACCTTGAATAGATCATGGGCTTTGTATAGCGTGAACAATAGTAAAAAAATACATGCAAATATTTTTTTACTTTCATCTTCATTTCTTAACAGAAGAAGCATTGTCAGCCATTATTATTAATTTTTGACTCGTATTTACTTTCATCATCATTTTTTATTTGATGAAGCATTGTCAGCCATTATTATTAATTTTTGACTAGTATTTACTTTCATCTTCATTTCTTATTAGATGAAGCATTGTCAGCCATTATTATTAATTTTTGACTAGTATTTACTTTCATCTTCATTTCTTATTAGATGAAGCATTGTCAGCCATTATTATTAATTTTTGACCAGCATTTACTTTCATCTTCATTTCTTATTAGATGAAGCATTGTCAGCCATTATTATTAATTTTTGACTAGTATTTACTTTCATCTTCATTTCTTATTAAATGAAGCATTGTCAGCCATGATTATTAATTTATGACTAGCATTTACTTTCATCTTCATTTCTTATTAGATGAAGCATTGTCAGCCATTATTATTAATTCTTGACTTGTATTTACTTTCATCTTCATTTGTCTACTTCAAGTTTGAATTCAGAAATTCCTTTCTCCTAGACTGATTATCAACCAAGGCAAGAGATCTCAATCTGTTTTGATATTTAACCCATATCTGGAGTGAGACAAAATGGATTCATACTTTTACCAAGAATGTTTATGTGAAAGTGAATGTAACAATCTTGGTCGGAATTTGAACCCCTCCACCAATTTCTCTATTAAAGCTGCTTAAACATTACACTGTCAGCTCGTATCATGCAGCATGGCAGCTTCTGTGTTAATGCACTTAATACATGTGAAAGAGAAATGATAATGTTAAAATTTATGTTATGTTCGTGGCACCAAGGACATTATCTTGGAGAAAGCCAGATGAACAGAAAGAACAAGAGATGGATCTGCTTGGACCCCACAAAGGTATTCATGGTGATACACACAGTGACAGCCCTAAGGTTGTTGACACCCCAGGCAAGTTGAACTTTGGTGCCCTTACAAGTATAATTTTATAAAATTTTCACAAGGAGAAAAACTGAAAATGTAGAATAACAAATTTATTACAATATACAAGCTAAAGAAAATAAGCATTATCCTACCTGGATTTACCTATTCTCAAAGCAAAAAATGCTTATAGACTCAAATATGAATGACCAATATTTACCTATCCTGAACCAAGTACATGCTTACAGACTAAAATATAAACAACCAATTTTTACCTATCCATGAATCAAGTAGATTCATATAGATTAAAATATAATTGAAATATATATTACTAAAATTGACCTCAAACCAAGAAACTGACTCAAGTATAAATTAACAAAATTGACCTTCTCAAACCAAGAAACTGACTCAAGTATAAATTAACAAAATTGACCTTCTCAAACCAAGAAACTGACTAAAGTATAAATTAACGAAATTGACCTTCTCAAACCAAGAAACTAACTCTAATATAAATTAACAAAATTGACCTTCTCAAACCAAGAAACTGACTCAAATACAAATTAACAAAATTGACCTTCTCAAACCAAGAAACTGACTCAAATATAAATTAACAAAATTGACCTTCTCAAACCAAGAAACTGACTCAAATATAAATTAACAAAATTGACCTTCTCAAACCAAGAAACTGACTCAAGTATAAATTAACAAAATTAACTTTCTCAAACCAAGAAACTGACTCAAGTATAAATTAACAAAATTGACCTTCTCAAACCAAGAAACTGACTCAAGTATAAATTAACAAAATTGACCTTCTCAAACCAAGAAACTGACTCAAGTATAAATTAACAAAATTGACCTTCTCAAACCAAGAAACTAACTCAAATATAAATTAACAAAATTGACCTTCTCAAACCAAGAAACTAACTCAAATATAAATTAACAAAATTGACCTTCTCAAACCAAGAAACTGACTCAAATATAAATTAACAAAATTGACCTTCTCAAACCAAGAAACTGACTCAAGTATAAATTAACAAAATTGACCTTCTCAAACCAAGAAACTGACTCAAGTATAAATTAACGAAATTGACCTTCTCAAACCAAGAAACTGACTCAAAACTGATCTTAGTTGGAGAAGGTAAATTTTGGTAATTTATATTTGAGTCAAACCAAGAAACTGCTTATAGAGTCAAATATAAATTACAAATATTTATCTGTCCTTGAATCATGTAAATTTTTATGTAGTCAAATTTAAATGACCAATAACTACTTATCCACCACCCAAATAAATGCTTAAAGATTCATTTTTTCCTAACCTTTAGATCTGTAAATCTTTTCATAGCACTTTCTAGAGCTATCTTCTTTACAAGACCATTTTCTATTACAAAACAGTTAAAGGATTTAATTTGTCTTGAACCATGGATGACCACAAATATGTTTTTATAAAATTTAGTTTTGGAAGATCCCAAACACACGACATGGTGGCATGATGGCACCTTCAGCCTTGATGCAGTGGCCCTGGATACACACCAAGTTCAATATACTTCATCTGCCCAGAGTGCTGAGGAGGTGGTCATACATATTCCAGCAGCTGCATGCCACAGAGCCCACATGAGCCAGGAGTAGCTGATCAAGAATTTTTACAATCATTTCTATGGCCTATCAATTTGAATGTACGATTTGAATGTGGCCTTATGCTTTGAATTGTGGGATGTGATGGCCACATGATGTGGGCATGTAGTTATTTACTTCCAAGGCCATACTTGATGATGAAGATAGTTTTATTGAATTTACCTCTGTCAGTTATTATTCATTTTTCAACAAATTTAGCTTACAGCCATATCATGTTGGAATATTGGTTCTTATATGATCACCAAAGTTAAGCATCCTCAAGCTTGGTCAATACCTATATGGGTGACCACTTGGGAATACCATGTGCTGTAGGCTCACATGTGCATGTGGTGTAATCGATAATTACTTAGAATTAGAAATTGGAAAGCCGAATTCCAGTTCACTTGGGTTAGATGCAAATACTCTTGGGAAAGATATGAATCCACCCCTCTTCCTCCACAGCTATAGGTTAATTAGTAGGACTTGTTTCCATAAATTATTATCACTTCCAAAAACTTCTTACTATCTAAAAGTATTTTCTGGTTTTAAATAACCTGCTAAGGGTTGATAACCCACAAAAAACAAATCATTCACTCACTCAAAAAATAATAATTGAAAATGCTTCATTTAAAATTTTTAAAAAGTAATATATTATAATAATAATAATTTTAATTATTTCACCTCAAGTAAGGCAACAAAGCCACTAACATGTAGGGGGTTAGTGAATGTGAAAGAAATATAAGAAAAATATTTAAATTTTTATAGTTCAATCTTGACTGGAAAGCAAGAAGCCAGAAGAGAGTTTCACAAGCGAAAAGTGCAAGAAAAGAAATTATCAACATAGAGCTTATGGTTACACATAGCTATTTTGATATTACTACTAATATTAATACTACTAATATTATTACTACTAATATTAATCTTACCAATATTAATACTACTAATATTATTATTGTATGTAAATAAAGATAAAGATGATGTCTCAGATCCTCCATCTCAAATCGTCCTCAAATTAACATTATGTCAAAGGGTTAGATTCACTAATCCTCAGGATTTTTAGTTGCACTCCTAGTCACATTCCTGCAATTAGTAGGTGCGCCTTCTACTAAAAGTTATAGTGTTTTACATTTTTTAGATGGTATTGTCTTGCTACTCTTTCCTCCACCTCCAGATGTAAGATGTGATACAAAACAACCGACTGTCATTGTATGGATCACCGTATTTTACCAACTTACTAATTTTTTTAATTAATAACTATTTGTGCTCAATTGCAGACATTAATAGCTATCTGCTGATGTGTTAAAATTTTGGGATAATGCAACTATGAAATTTTAAATTTCATCTCTCTGATAGATGTCACAATCTGTAAATAATCAGGATAAAAAAAGCGCAATTACTGAAGCTGTAAGGTGTCCATGGCCTAATTGGTAAAGCAGCTGTCACACTAAAGATTTCTGAAGAAAAGAAATGCCTTTAGTTTCTGTTCATGCTGTTAACTCATGGCCACAGAATGACAAAATAATTGTGATAAAAAGCAGGTGAAATTCAAATGAAATAAACATGAATGAAAAAATTAACAATAATAGAAAATGCTTTATTTAAAACTAATAAATTTCAAGATAATATTACAGGTTGACTATCATTAATCTGGTATGATTGGGTCCTGAAGAGTGTTTGATAAGTGATTTTGCCAGATTACTGTTGATTACAACACACTTAACTCAACAGCTAACCACTTCATTCCTATCTTGAAAATACCCTGTAAATCAGCACATGTTGGTTAATAAAGGAGCAAGGAAAATGAAAATCAAATTCTAACTTATCTGTGATGTACTATGTATGGTGTTTGCCCTCCACAAAATGGAATTTCATTGGAGCCATGATTGGAGCTAAATATCAGCAGGTTATAATAAAAATACAGGGCGTTTCAAAAGTCTATGTCACGTTCTAAGAACTCTTATATCATGAACTACAAATAGCAACAGGATTGAACTGGTACCATTTAAAAGTTAAAAGAGTCAAGTTTTCTTCTGTTAATTTAATTTTAGTTTAATTAATTAAATTTAATTTTTGAACACCACTCTGCCTGATAGATGGGTCAAACATTCTGGACAAACTGATAGCGTGTTCCTACGATGGCTACCTAAGTCTCCAGACCTCACACCATGTGACTTCTTTCTGTGTGCATATGTGAAAGGCCTCATGTATGTACTTCCTCTTCCCAGAGATGTGGATGATCTGAAGATGCGAATAACTGAAATCTTGTCAGCCATCAACAATGTTATGTTTGGTAGCATTTAGCAAGAAAATGGATTATCATTTCGATGTGTGTCATGTAACCTGCAATGCACACATCGAAAACCTGTAAAAAGCTGTATAGAAATGTGGAAATATTAGCTTTCAGGGAATATAAATTGTGTTTTGATATCCTCAATAGTTATTAAGATATACAGTATTGTAATGTAACATAGACTTTTGAAACACCAAGTATTCAAGAATGTCTGTTGCAGCAGTTAGTGACACCAAATAGTCATGGCTGGTGTGTGGCAATCAAGGAAATCTGAAATTGCTCTCATGGAAATTAGTAACAGATTACTGATTAAAGTAGATTACTGTTTGCCAGACTGGTGATGACCAACCTATATTATTAATAGTAAAAATGTAAAAAAAATAACACAAATTGATATGAAAGAAATCCGAGTCAAAAATGAATAATGGCAGACAATGCTGCATCTAATAATAATAAAATTCAAGATAATATTAATACTAATACTAATAATGTAATAAAAAGCAAGTGAAATTAAGATGAAAGAAATCCTAGTGAAAAAAATCAATAATAATTCATGTATGTTGTCTTTGAAGTTTGTAAAATTTTACAAAAAGACAACATTCATTGTTAAAAATATTCTTTTTTCTGCCTTGCTATTTTCCCTGTTACTTTAAAAATGCTGGCTGCTGTATATGAAAAAGAAAAAGAAAATCACTAATAAATTAAAGTAGGTGGAACCATTGTATACTCGAATCATTTTATAAACCAGGGTTTTATTCATTTTCATTGAATAGCATAAACTGAGTTTTTTCTATCCAAACAAAATCATTAATGGAGGTTTGGACTGAAGTGACTCATCACAGCAGAATCAGAACACTTTGGTATAATGTGTGAATACAGAAAAGTATCATGTATACAGTAATCAGATGCATGTATATTAATCTATAGATTCCATTCTATAAGATTAGATTACATATCTTACCTATATTGTTATAATGAACATTTTTATGTTACAAACTAGAGTGAGGTCACTTTGGTTGTAGATGACATTAAATGAAACATGACTTTTGCACTGAAAGATTCTGGGGCAAATAATATAAACAAACTCCTGACCTACATGACAGACAAACAAAAATTTAAATTAAAAGACACTCGTTAAACCTGTTCTCATCACGTCTACTTTTTTGCAAAGTAACCTCCACACTCCAAAGTGCTTTTGAAGCAGGTTAATTTTATTATATGCCTTTGTATTTTGGACTAATATCCTCATTTTGGTTGTTATACTCACAATGTCTTGGCTCTTTTACTCTACAACTTTCTTCCAACGTCTGTCACACTTGGTAAAGATCGAAGAATTTTGAATGAAGCCCTTTATTTTATCTAAAAGAATAGATTGCTTTCATTCCACATCTCATGTTTAGGGAATATCTTGTATCAATTCTTGCTGGTTCTTTTGCTTTTAGTGTTGATTTTTTGTGGCTTCCACTGAATCGGAGCATATGACTTTTCTGCACTATCTAACGACTGCAAGGGAAATAAATCTATTACAGATAAAAGTTACAGCCAAAACATTTTGACACATAATATATATATATTTTTTTATTCAGATTTACCCAAAGCAAAGCAGTAAAGCCACTAAAGGGTTACTGGGTGTGAAAGAATTAGAAAACAGAAACATTACTAAGGAACAAGAACAGTAATCATGAGGACTATTAATAATGATTGACACTCCATTTAAATTTTTGATGATCAATATTAACTGTAAATCATGAACCTGGAAGAGAGTTTCATGAATGAGAATTTTGAGAAAAGAAACTTAGCATAGAACTTACGCTTACATCTTGCCATTTCAACTGTAAAATTATGAGACCTAGCTGTCAATCTAATACTGCACTTAAATTCATGAAGTCTAGATACCAAAGAGGAATGTTCATCAGAACAATTACCATGAAAGTGTTTATAGAAAAGGCACAGGGAAACTACATTATGGTGGTGGGAAAGTGACCGAGAGCTGATATGCCAGGTCAGGACCAATAACATTGCAGATTCTTCTTTGGATTTTATCAATTATTTCTAAATATATATAGCATGAGTGCCAGACCTGACAAGGCAGTAATATCCAATGCAAGAAAGAATAGTAGACTTATAGTTACATCTTGCCAACTGAATTGAAAATTAATCAGAACTTGTTGTCAGTTTAGTACTGCTCTTAAATTCATAAGATTTCTTTATTTTACATATTGTAATGATATGTAAATGAATGCTTAATTATCATAGCAAAGTCATAGAATATATAAATGCCCAAGCAGTGAGGGTAGACCAGTTCTTGGTATGCCAGATAAATGACTTGCTGGACTGATAAAATATGAAGCAAATCCTACTTCATAACATACACTGCAGTTCAAAAGTTTGAGGCTACCTGGGGTAATTTTTTAAATTGGCCCAAAAGTAGTTGTTTTGTACTTTAAATAAGAGAAAATTTTTATACATGATTTAAAAAAAAGTGAGATTATTTTTTTATTAGAAATTTTATTATGACAAAAAGAAAAAAAAACATTTTATGATTAAATTTTGCTCTCGTCAAAATATCCTCCTTTAGCCTTGATTACTACAGCACAAAATTTTGGCATTCGTTGTAAAAGTTTCTCAAAGTTTAAGTTTGGTAATTGATTCCATTCTTTTTTCAATGACTAAGATCTCTTCCATTTTTTTTTCACTCTTCTGTTAAGTTCATCCAACGCTAATTCTGGGGTTGGCTTCAAATTTTTGAACTGTAATGCATCCAATTAACAGTTACTAAGCAGATTAATTCTATAAATATCACACTGCATATCAAATATTATGGTCCATTTTTTAAACAAAATGGACCACCTGTCAAGTAAATGCTTACAGGTTCAGATAAAAACAAACCAGTATTTATCTATCACTAAACCAAGTACAGGTTGACAAGCCCATATCTGAACAACTGAAAACCGAATATTTTTAGTGTGGAGTTTGGTGCACAAAAAGCTTACCCCACCAATTAAGTATGACATGGCAACAGGTGTCATGATTAGTCCGACTCC